TTGAGTGTTTTTGTTGTAACTAGTAATACTAAATGCTGGCCACCTTGAAAATAAAAATTTTAAATAGCTTTTATGTAAACCATGAGTGAAWTATTGATGCTTTTTAATTAAATGCTTTATCTATGAACCAGTTCGATTTTGTATATTTAATTAGGCCTTAATAGACGTCACACTCATTAGCATATTGGAAGTATAAACCTTCATAACTTAGAAACGCATCACTCAAATCAAGAAATATTTTACCAGTCAATTATTTACTTTATACAGAACCAGTACTGAATGTATTGTCAAAGGGTTCATTTGCACTTTAAAGATAATATGTTTTTAAATCAAATTATAAAGCAGTTTCATGCACGTTTGTCGGCATTCTGCAAAATCCCAAATCATAAGATGTACATGCCCAATTAGAACAACGTTCCTGGACAAAACGTTTGGTTAAACGAACGAATGAAGGAGGAAGGGAGGGAGGAAAAGGAAGGAAGGAAGTTAAAGCAAGGGAAAAATGGAGGGAAGGAAGGAAGGAAGGAGGGAGGAAAGCAAACGGTCCTCCCGTCCCCCCCAAAAGGTCAAACCACAAACGAATGTTTTTTTTCTGATAATTAGAAATTACTGCTGAAAAGAAAAAGACTTCATGACACTTAGAAGTGTATCCTTCKAGCAGAGTCTCCTTTTTACCCTCTCTCCAGGCGAGAGTGGTCTTTTCCGATTCCACAATCCCGGTCATTCCCCATTGCTTATTTTAATAAGGTCCACTTCGCGGCGAAGGCTCACCACTCTTTTATAGCTAAATGAAAATGTACAAAAGTTTACAAAAAGTCACTGAATAGCAATAGGAAAATAAAATACCGAGATCGTAACGAAATCCAAATTTACCTAAACGAATGTTGTAACTGCTAAAATTATGTAAAATACTAAAGGTATGTTCTTAAAGGAAATGCATTTTCGGGTTTAAATTCCGGATTTCAGATGTGTCGATTTCAGTCASGGTATATGTCGAAAATACCCAATGTTCACGGCCTCCGCGTGAACCCTAAATACAATAACCCAAACTGATTTTTGGATATGTTCTAGAAGAACATCTAAATAGTTCATGACGTGAGTTTCATTGAGAAAAGAAGTGGCGCACTTGATTAATTTTTTTTGGCGTAGCAAGGGTCAGATCTATGTGTGAATACCACTCAATTCTAAATAACATCTGACCGCTTTTTACCCAATCAAGTCTCAAACATCTCTTCTATCAATTTATAAACATGTAGTTTTCATATCATTTTCTTATTCTGTATGAGTTGTTTTTGGACCTGTTTGATTCAACTGAAAATTTGCATCGATTTTAGATCGCCGCTGGGCCAACAGATTTTCTCGGATTTCTCAGAATTTTAGCGGTCTTTTGAAAAACTAACTACACCACGTTTGTTTACTTGGTAATACCTTCCAGCAAACCAGAAATGAGCAAACGAAATTTTGACAGTGAACGCGAATTCTCGCGGAAAGCACGGGAAGCGTAGCGGCGAGAGCGCTCGCCTCTCACCAATGCGACCCGGGTGCGAGTCCCGCTGAGCTCGGTGTCGTATGTGAGTAGAGTTGTTTGTTGGTCCTCTCCTGTGCTTCGAGGGTTTTCCGGGTTCTCCGGCTTTCCTCCCTCCGCAAAAAACTCCTAAATTCCAATTGGAATTACAGTGGATGAATATCTACTCTGTAGAAATGCCACTGTTAAATCCCATTTATCTATTTATTTGTTTTATTTATTTCTCGATTTTGTTCGATATTAGTGAACATCTGCTCTTAAGGTCTAATAGTAATAACACTCTCGCTCTTGCAATAAAATCGCCAAGACCATTGTTGGATATGAGATCGATATCTCATGAGATTGTATACGATTTCCCAGATAGACACATTGATCCGGAGATAGATCCTTCTCAGTGACTGCCCCAGTTTTATGGAACGCTTTGCTTCCAAGCCAAAATTACTAGATTAAAAAARAAAAATTGGAAACTTTTTAGGCAAGCCTTTTTTTTTTAATTTTTAATTAAATTCTGAGATCGGAGTAACTGTGAGTTTTGGTAAATTTAGTTCATTTAGTGACGTTTATTTTGATTTTCTTTCTGCAAATATAATAAATAGAACTACATGACTTTAGATCTTGTTTTAGTATAGTTTGATTCTTAATAATAGACCCGTTTCGAATTCCAAATTACCGCTGTGTTCCTTGATTACAGACTCATTTGCACAGAGTTAGCCTCGTATCAGTGTTTAAATATTCACAAATACCAACGGTAAAGTAAAGAATGCACAACTTCAACAATACGAACACTTTGAAACTCGACGGATCTTGACTGGAACACGTGAATATTCTGCACAAAATCGAGTAAAAAGAGTAAATACTTCTATTGCCGTGTTCATTAGTCAAACGCTTTTCTGGTCTGATCAAGTTGATAATATCGCTAAAAGTTGTCAATGGGCATCAGTGCTTTGAAGCAAGTTCGTCCATTTGTTACGATTGACACCTTAATTATTATTTATAATGCCCTTATTTTGCCATTSTTTGACTATGGTGATGTAGTATGGGGTAATTTCGGGATCGACCGAACAAGTAAAGCTTTTAGGTAGGAAAGTGCGAAAAATCGTGCAAAAACGTAGATTTCCGACCAAACAGAGCAAAATGATTCATCGATACGACGGCACAGAGAACTGTAATTCACATTACGTTAGCTGCAAAATGTTACTACTATCCTTGACTGGTAAGCATTTCTTTAACTCATCTTCTATGTGTATAAATGTTGGAAGAATGTAGGTGGTTTTTGAACATTTTCCATGTTTAGACGGAATTCCATACAAAATATCTTGTAATCCACCAATCCTATATTAAGAATAACCTTCCTCAGTACAACAAATGCAGATAGACTGTCAAATCTCTTGACGGCATTTCTCGTTGGTCGCTCATGAATAAACTACGACGGCTCAAAACGCAAGAAAATTGGGGGTAAAGACGTTTCAATGCCAAAATCTGGCGCATGCGCAGGCAAATTGTATACATGCTGATGACGATAGCATTAAGGATCATGATGACGATGATGATGGCGGCGAAGATGACGATGCCATTTAGTTTCTAATCAGGAAAATAAGACAAATATCACAGGTTCATCAATGTCATTTCTTTAATTGGTGAAYATCAATAGAAGTCACTTGCTATGTTATTTTTGTTTTAACTTGAGGGCAACTAACTTTTGGAAGCTTGGAGGTTCTTGTATGTTGATTTATTGATTTATCTCGAAATATGGTTTCGGGCAGTTGAAATAGTAACATAGAATACTTTGAGGACTTATTTTTACATGCTTTGACTTATCAGTTGCTAGTTGCATATTAATTGCCTCCCAGCCAACTCCAAAAAGTCACGTGATTGATAACAAGCATTTTTTTCATCTTTTTTTTCACTTCCTAAAGCTAATTGTTTTGTTTTTTTGTTATTTACAGGCACACACGATTGATGTTCGTAATGTACAAGCCCTCATTCTAAAAGGTTTGTAATCAACATGCACCCACCACTTGTAAATAATGCCGGATCACTTAAAAATTTTTTCAAAAAACACCAATTTTATTAAACCCTGGAAGAAACGAATCTCTAAAAATGCTTAAAGTTAAGTCACAGTTTGAATTGGAATTTCGCATGCTGGGGAGAAGAGTTTTTGAAGTCGTGTCCCTGTTTTTTTTATACCACATATATATATATATATAATTATATATAGCCATATGCAAAAATTCTCATCCAACCAAGTATATTGTATATAACTATATCGGGTGCATTATGGGTAACGGACCTGCGGGATTCAAAGCTAAGTACCATAGCTAAGAACCAAGCTGACGTTTTGATTAAGATAAGTTACCTTTCAAAACAAACTCAACTTCTTCAAACCAGAAAAAGAATTTTCACCCTGCCTAGGACTCGACAATCGGCGTAATTTTCAATATAGGCAGGCGTTCTTGTATRTTTGGGGAAAACCGGGGTTTTGGGGGAACTTTGGAATTTTGGAACGAGCGAGAATTGAAACCGAGCAAAATGGGGGAGGGGGCGGGAAAGGGAAAAAGAGAACGCCTGCCAGCAGCCTTTGTGGTTATTTTGATTAATTCCGATGTTTGAGATGAATATAAGAAAATAAGAAAGTTAGGCCAATTGTATAACATTGTATAATTGTGTCTGCGCATGCGTACGCTTTTTGTTTTTCTTCACGRGGAGGCTTCCTGTGGTAAGATGGCGCCTTGTTCACTTACGAAAACTTTAATGATTTCCCTTTTTCTGCTATCTGCTGTTTCATGTACAAGAAAATTCTCAGAGAAAAAAATGCATTGTCTGTAAACGTCAATGTGAAGAAAAAATAAGTTCTACCAAGTGTTTTTCCTTACCTAGAATATGTAAAGTTGTCTTCGTATTTGCGTATGACGGCTATAGATTGCTTCTCGTCACGCGTTTTCAATCAGCTAAAAATGTAGCTTCCCGAATTTTTAGAAAGTTTATTTCAGGATATTTTGGTTCCCCAGTGAATAAAGGCTCTATTAACGTGAATTTTATTTTGGAGGGTTCGGCTAATTTTCTACGGAAAATATCGGAATGAAATCACCTTTCACTACAAATAGCCTTCGAAAAGTAAACAAATTGGCGCTTTTATGTGGAAGCCCGCGAAGAAGATAAAATACCTATTTAAACTTATGAAAAATGTTAATTGAAGTGACAAACGCGACTTTCAATTACAATACAGGCGAACTCCGACTTTGCGAATCAAAACAAAAGTCCTTTTTTACCTTTGAACAAAGTTAGTGCAAATTGGTTATCCTCTTTAGTCTTTTTGGGGACAGCATTTTCTTTCATTATTTCTAATTCCTCTCTGGTAACAGCAACAAAGCGGCTGACCGCCATTTTGGATTATCGCTGGAAGTGATTATCGTGTGATAGTGTGAGTTTCTCAACCAATCAGCGCGCTAGATTTTCAATAATCTGTGTATTTTTACTAAAGCAAAATATTCTATCCAGCGATTTCAAAACTGATTTTAAACTCAACCGAAACTTGTGCGCGCGCTCAAAAACTGCTGAATAATCTTCACGATTTTATTGAAGAAGCATACAAGTTTTGAACTTCAAGAGGGTGAAACCCTCCAATTTTGTCCGGAACTCTATATTTTTGTTATTTTCCGTAATAAAAGGTAATATCCCATTATTTTTCAAAGTTTAAGACAATTCTGTTTATTAGAACAATGTGAAAGAGAGTTCTGCTTGTTTTGTGCTCAATTTTTACGATAACTTGCACACCGTAGAACCTGAACAGAAAACATTTTTTTCCATTGTCTACAATAGTTTATTAAAACAGCTTTTTAAAATCATTATCATATAAATATAGTGTAATTTACGTGTTCGGAGAAAATTAATCATGTTTCTTCCTTAGTTTTGGTTTAATGATTTTTTTCGTACAAAGCTTGATTTTCGCTATTTTTCTTCCAAAATTGTACAAACGCATGTYATTCCGGAATGATAATCTCAAAAACAAGCTCGGGACACCCTATTTTTCATTGTATTTTGAAATCAGCATTGAATTTATGGTTTATTTTTTACCAAAGTAGTCAGCCACCTTAGTTATTATCATACCAAAACTTACTGTTATAAGAGAAATAAGCACCTAGGATTTTTACTCCTATTTCGTAGAAATTAATCCATTTAATGTCCTTAAATTGTCTTGTTACATCTAGACATTTTTTCCAACCATCCTGCAACTGTGATATCTTCTTCGCAAACTTCTCTTTCTTCTAGTGATACCGTTGGAGGGGTAATTTTGACAAAAATATTTTACATTCACTTTCCGTGTTATCCGATTTAGACTGAAATATGGAACAAAAAATACTGTTTTATCTATTCAAGAATTTACGTAGGTTCTATAATTTCCTTATCATCTATCAATTTTCTAATTTGTGTTTTAGTTTTATTGCGTTTCTCTAACGTTAAAAAGTATTTAGTACTTTCTTTTCTCCCGAATCATACCATCTTGCTTGCATTTCCTGAGTTCTTATCTAGTTAAGAATGCCAAGCCTCCAAGAATAAACGTTGTTCACGGTTGCTCTCTTTTTCTTCCACCCGAGCCGTTTGAAATTCAAACTCATTTTCCACTTCGCTTGCGTGCTGGGCAATCTTCGAAGGTTTCTGATAGTTACAAATTATTAATCCAGCTGCCAACCGGTTGGCTCAGTTGATTGATCATTGGACTTTCTTGTGGGAGGTCGTGGTTCGAGTCCCGGCCTGACCAACACTCAGGGACTTAAAAAAACTGGGAAGAAAGCGCTGCCTTTGTTATTACATCTGCAAACAGCTAGACTTTCAAAGGGCTCGGATGAACACTTCGAATGACCGTCCCATCTCTCCACACTTCATCATTACTAACCAATATATAGATTGATGTAAGAACCACTGATGACGTGAAGAAACCTTGGCAGCGACCACCCTCAGTGCCTACACTTCATACTAACCGCCTCTCATGTTTGTAATTTGCATAAAAAGCAATTTGAAGTGAATTCACACCTAATTGGTGAAAGCGCCTTAAAACTGTATCCATAAAGAGAAGGCGCTTTATAAATGATAAATAATTATCATTGTATGTTCTGCAATAATTCTTGTTCTAAGAGATCTCTCTAAGTGTCTGCCCATAGTAGATGAAGTTACACTTTACTTTGTAAACAACCCCGGTCTTAGTTTTTGTATCCCTTGTGATATCCATCTTGGGTACTAGACGGTCACTTTAGCAAGACGGAATAGTTTGATGACGATGATTTCTTATGCGCAATGGGGTGGTGAGAATGGAAGTCTAGATACCTTTCAGCGTGTGTTGGCTTACGAGAGACAGTTGTATCAATTTTTTATTCTTCTTTGCGGATAGTTTTGGTGTCAAGGAAGGCTAATCCAGATTCAGGTGACTCATCTTTGTATGTGGTCTGGATGTGCCTGTTGATTGAGTTTGAATGCTGATAAAATTCGTGTACACGGTCCTTCTTTAGGCAACGATGGCTGTTATCAACGTATCTATACCACCGTAGCTGTATTTTACGCCGACTTTCCTACGTGCCCATAGCCCATAGCACCAAAGATCTGTTGGTAGCAAGTGTCAAACTGAAAGAAACAGTTCAGGACAAACTTCAAGAGCATCAAAAAGTTCTTAACAGCCTAGGCAGATTGGTGCGTGAGTCTATAGTTGTGTCTAAGACTAATCTCTCCTCAACCACATTTCACGCTAGTTCAACAGGAATAGAAGTGAACATAGAGACGACATCTAAAAGGATACCATTATTTCATCTGACTTGATCGTCTTTGTCTTCATTTTATYTGTAAAATCGACAGAGTTCTTCAAGGTGTAGGTGGAGTCAACAGTATAATTAGATGCTTGGATAAATTGCAATAGTCCCCTTCACAGTCCCCTGCGCTATCTTGAAAGGTAGCCTTGCCTTTGCATCGAAGCATGTGAAGACATGTGAATAATAGGACATTTGCACGATGGCGTCATTGACCTCTACTACCTGACTCCCTTGCAAACTTTTTTTTGTTCAGTTAATTAGCACCAATTKTCTTACTATTCTCATGAGGAAATACAAATTTAAATAAAAAAGAAAATTCGCAATTCATCTTGGTAGTAGAGGTCAAATGACGCCATCATGCAAACGCCCTATTGTTCAAGGCGTTAAAAAAGGTCTCTATCATTGCAAGCTCATCGCTCGTCTCGCTTTGATGCAAAGGCACGGCTACCTTTCGAGATGGCGCAGGGAACTGTGAAGGGGTCTATTAGGGGAACCAATGCAAGAAGTACGCTTCTTTCGTGCTTACCTCACTTCCTTTGTGCTTTATTACTGAATGGAGAACGGAATAAGCTGTTTTACTTGTTAAACATACTTAATCCTAAATCTCATCTCAAAAACTGAGATAGAGAAAATAAGAGAATATCAATTGCCCTCGAACCCACGTCTTCGGTATTCCAGTCCGATGTGTTAACCACTACACCACAAGGACCAACCACGCTGGTAACGCAGCCGGAATATGAAATGTAGGGTACTCGTGAGGATCCCAGAGCAATATTTGTTATCAATAGGTAAGATGAACACCGTAAATATGTACGCAAAGAATATACATAGTATAGTAGTAATAAATTATGTGTTCGGTGTGTGTAATGAAATAGAGAGAATATTTTTCTCTTATTCCCGCCATTCTTGACTTGGTATTGACGTTCGGAAGTGTAAGCTTCTTGGTAAGATGTTATTTTCTTTCAATTGGGAATTTTCATGGAATCTTTTTTTTGATGTCACATCAAATTTTATTGCAAAACTATGCAATTTTAGCCCTTTTTTTTCTTTCCTTGAAATGGGATTGAAAACCCAAACTACAAAGCGTCAAATATCGGTTTTTCTGTTGTTAGTAATGAAGACGAAGATAATCAAAATTTAAAACGTACTAAACAAAAAACAAAAAGCAACAATCACAGTTCAAGTTCTTTTCTC